CAGTTTGAAGGAATCATGATCTTACATTGCATCATAGCTGAAACAGATGAGATGTAAGAACCATTATAACACCTCCCAAACATTTTCATCCATTTCTAAACAGTTAAAAACATATATTTTAGTTATGATGACAGCAGGGCCACCATTTAAGAAATTAATCTTGAAAGACAATAGTAACCATTTTGTTTCTGAGATATTGCTGTATTGGTAACATTTCCCATGTCCTGATTATTGTTTTATAGTCAAGCATTAATTAGTAACAGTACAGTATCTAGCTGATGGCATATACCAAGATCCAGGTCTATAGAGCCTGTGTCCTGAGCACACTCCTGTACTGCAGTGAGTCCTGGACCCTTTGTGCACAGTAGGAGAGGAAGCTGAACATGTTCCATATGTGTTGCCTCTGATGGATTTTTGGTATCACCTGGCAGGACAAAGTCCCAAATAGAGTAGTCCTAGAACGAGCTGGAATTTTTAGCATGTATACATTACTGAAACAGCAACGTCTACATTGGCTTGGACATGTTGTGAGAATGGCTGATGGCCGGATTCCAAAAGATCTCTTGTATGGAGAATTAGTGCAGGGAAATCGCCCCAGAGGGAGACCACAGCTACGATACAAGGATATCTGCATGCGGGATCTGAAGGCCTTAGGAATGGCCCTCAACAGATGGGAAACCTTGATATCTGAGCATTCAGCCTGGAGGCAGGCGGTTCATCATGGCCTCTCCAAATTTGAAGAGACCCTTGTCCAGCAAGCTGAGGTGAAGAGGCAATCCCAAGAGCAGCAAAATCAAGGAGCCGGACAGGGGACAGATTGTAATTGTCTTTAGTGTGGAAGGGATTGTCACTCTCGAATTGGCCTTCTTAGCCACACTAGACGCTGTTCCAAGTCCTCCATATACAGAGCACACTACCATAGTCTCTTGAGACTGAAGGATGCCTACAATCTACACTGTTTACAACTTGATCAGGTTTCACATACAAAGGTATAGTGTTGTAACTGTGGGAGAAGTGAGAGATGTGGTTCACCAATTATGTTCTTATCACAAACACAGTGTTGCATTTGCAGAAAACAGGATGGGGTGACGTGTCATGCTGTGCTTCAGCCATTTAATATCCCTGCATCTGCAGAAGTCTACAGTGATGCAGTTAAAAAATAAAATAAAATAAAATGACTGTGTTGTTATTTGCAGCTGGGCAGGTACACATAAAGAAATGGCCTCCTAAATTCATCTTCTCCTCACCACAGATGATCAACCAACCTGGTCATCAGGGTAAAGGAAATGGAGGACAACCATGGATTTTCTGTCTGTAGCTTCCTTTTCCTCCCTTATCCTTCAGAACGAAGGAGAAGGTGTGTGTCTTGTGAATCAGGTTTCACAGCTTCAAAGGAGCTGAACAAGCGAGAGTCATAATACTGGTAAATTGGAACATTTTCAGTATAGTATGGAACCTGAAATCACCATTGCTAACAGCATCAAAAAAATATCTAGGGGAAATATTTGTTGTTGTTATGTGCGGTGAAGTCATCTATGACTAAGGTGACCTTATGAATGAACGGTCTCCAAAATGTCCTGTCTTCAACAGGACTGCTCAGCTCTTACAAATTCAAGCCTGTAGTTCCTTTAGAGAGAGTCAATACATCTTGTATTTGGTCTTCCTTTTTTCCTGCTGCCTTTAATCTTTTACAGCATCTTTGACTTTTCCAGAAAATCCTGAAAATAGATACAGTAACTTAAGGGAAATCAGCATCAGGAAGACAGGTTACAGAGTGTGTTGCATGCAATGCACATGAGACACCAGTGTTACTGTACTGAGCTAAAACACTTATGAGGATTGGACATCTGTATCTTCAGACTGTTTGAAGGCCCTAAGGACCAAACCAGATGAGAGAACAGTTTTGCAATTAGAAGGCATAAAAAGTACCTCTGCAGAGAAGCGTTTTCTTTTTTGCTGTACCATTTGTACAAAGAACATCTGAACTAAACCCATGCTTACCTCCCTGTGATGAATCATCAAACAAAAGCAAACTAATTCACAATTTTGCAACCTGTGAAACTACTCATAATTAAATGTCTTTTACTTCTTAGGGCAGTTCCAGTTCTAAGTGGATGCAGCTGCCTTCTCCAGTTTCACCCTGAAGTGCCCCTGAAATTATGACTAGCATCTTCACAATGTGGAACAATTCAAGTTGTTTGGTTTGATTTTTCCTACTGAGGAAAGGAACTGGGAAGTTCCTCTGTGCCAAGCAAATGATCCCTCTACTAGGCTCTTCCTTCTTATTTACCAATTGCACATACAGTGGTGCCTCACTTAGCGATGTTAATCCGTTCTGGAAAAAACATCACTAAGTGATTTAATCGCTAAGCGATATTAAAAAGCCCACAGGAACGTATTAAAACGCATTTAATACGTTCCTATGGGCTAAAAACTTACCTTAAAGCGAAATTCCTCCATAGCGGTGGCCATTTTGGGTGCCTCTAAAGCGAGGCAAAACAGCGGTGGCCATCTTGTTTTTGCAGCGGCCATTTTGGAACCGCCGACCAGCTGTTTAAAAAAGTTTGCTTTGCCATGATCGCTTCCCCGTGATCATCACAAAGCAAATTTTAGCCATAGGGGACATCGCTAAGCGATTGCTCCAGCGATGGCCAAAAGTCCATCGCAAAGCGATTTCATCACTCAACGGAGCGATCGCTAAGCGAGGCACCACTGTACTTCTATTTAGCACATGTTTCTATTGCTTGTACATTTTATTAGACATACAAACCAAAGTGCAATAAATGCCTAGAGACACACTGCTTTGTGGCCACAAAAATATCCAAAGCCCCACAAACTGTCATTTCTCCAGGGAGGCACAGTGGAGAATTAAACTGTTGGAGTTTTGTTTGCAATTTCATATGTGGGTTGTAGTTTGGTGGCACATTTCTGTGCTGAGGTGATGGTTCGTGGTAGTTGTTTGCTATTGATCAGTTCAGTTGGTTGCTAAGTTTGAGTGCATTAAGTACAGTAAAGAAAGCAGTCTGTAATTTCAAGCAACAAAGTGAAGAAATTACTTTGACGGATGTCTCAAAGTAAGCTATTATGGCTTTAAGGGCCAGTTAATAAGAAAGGGATGGAATCTGGGGAACATGTAGATATTCTCCTCTGTGGATCTCTGTATTTCTACTGCATAACAGAAAGGAATTTTATCTGTAAAACAAACTCCCAGGCACCAAACACCAACATTTTAAAATGTGGTTCCACATGGTATAGAATCCTGCATGAGGATTCTCTGAAAAAAGCATGAGTGTGTCTGCTCAGAAGTAAATCCCATTTGGTACTAAAATGTGTGCTTAGGGTTGCTGTACCTTGCAAAAAAAAAAAATAGCACCTCACACAGGTAGTTCGTGAATAGTTCTCTTCCAACTGCCAGTGTTTGAGAAATTTTACTTTTTAAGTACAGTACTCATTACAACAGTGGCAACTGCCATAACAGCATTGTTCATTCATTTAAAAAAAAATCTGTGCCTTTATGTTTTAACAGAAAAACAAAAGAAGTTCTTTTTAAACTAAAGAAGATCTGCCTGGTGGCAGGTGGCATAGGAAAGCCACTGACCCTGCTGGCTGGGTTTTCTGTGGTCTATAGCCCCATCCATCCATTCACCTACCATCTGATCTCCAAGCATCGCTAAACACTTCACAGACCATCAGCCACAATGTAGTATTTAACCAGTGTGTCACTGTATAGACTGGCATTGTAACTGTGCTTAAAAGTATAATAAAAATAATACAAAATTGGATTTCTTTCTTTCTTTCTTTCTCAAAGGAAGACAAAATGAACAACAAATGTGAAATTTAACATTAGGAGATCTTTTTTTAAAAAATCAAATGCTCATCTCTATATAAATGACATAAATGTACTATATGTGGTATCTTGTTTGTTCCTGTCTAATTTCTGTGGTTAAATGGTTTCATTTCCGTAACTTCTTCAATTCCATTTAAAGTGATTTGTATCACAAACCCCTGTTTTGGTTTTATCTATTGCCATGGTTTCCGTTTCATAACTTCTATTCCTTAAACCAACTCATATTGAAATTATCATCTTTTGTCTGTTTTCTATTGCCAGATATATACTTTTTGAACTTTGGTCCCCTTTTAAACACAATGAAGCATTTGAAAAACAAGCAGGCTTATTCTCACTATTTTAAAGAAATCTGCGGAATGATCATATCAGGTTTGAATTAAATAATCAATTATTCTGGCTTGAAACAAGTAGGAGCCCTCAGTGGCAGGAAAAAAAACTCCATGTTGGGAGCAAAAAGGGTTGGACTTAAATAGCTCTGGTCACACTGTCATTTTGAATTGATTTCTGTTCAGACTTTTCGAAAATCATGTTGATGTCACATAGCATTTAAACCAGTGGCTATGTTTGCATGCACTGAATAGAAATCCATTTACTTCTGGTGATTTAAGCTGGTTTTGGCATCTACATTGCTGAAATCAACTAATTTCCTTTTTGTTTTAGGGACACACTGTCTTTAAAGACTTCAATCTTATTTCATTCTTCAAAAGAAATAAGCAATACATTGATAAATCAAGTGTCTGGAGGTGCCACCTGGTGTCATAATAGTCTCTAGAAACCACATGGGAAACACTGGAGAGGTGACCCCAGCCAGTTAATGATGAAAAAATGAGCAGGGGGGGGGAGGCATCCAGCTGCTTTGCAGGGTGGTGCTTCTGGTGTGTGCACTATCCTTTGTGTCCAAGTGCACCTGCTCTGCGCCTGCTGGTCTTCTGCTGCTTTGCTGGGTGCTTAATCAGCTGAATGGAGAGAGCATAGGTGGTTGTAATACTGAATGTATTGATTAAATGATGCAGTGATAAACATTTTAAGAAAGAATAAAAATAAAATAAAAGGAAAAACAGCTGTGCCCGTGACAGCAGGGCTCACATCCACAAAATACTGGTTTTTTTAAAAAAAGGAAAAGGAAACATTATTTTCAGTGTTACTGATTCTTTCCACTCAGTTCTGGTTTCGAACTGTACTGTATTCCTCTTTTGTGATTTTTACAAACAGCAAGAGCCTTTGATTTCAGTGATTATTACCCACAGCAGCAGCAGGAGACAATCCTGACATAAAGCTGACATGGCTAAGCCAACAGACTACCTATTTGAGGAAAATGCAAATACAACTTACTATTACTATGAGCCTATTGATTCTAACTGGTGTGATATGAACGACGTCTCTAAATTTAGTGCTCTCTTTGCAAGCATCCTGTACTCTGTTACATTTTTCCTCAGTCTGCTCGGAAATAGTCTTGTCTTGTGGATTGTCATAAAATACGAAACCCTCCGGTCTTTAACCAACCTGTTCATCATGAATCTTTGCATCACTGACTTGGTCTTCTCCTGTGCACTCCCTTTCTGGATCATGTACGGTTACTATGGATGGATTTTTGGTGATTTTCTCTGCAAGACTGTGAGTGCTATTTTCTCTGTCAGCTATTATAGTGGTGTTATCTTTCTAACTTTCATGACCATCCTCCGATACATGGCAGTGGTAAATCCCTTGTCAACACTGAGAACTCGGAAAAAAAGATGTGGAACACTGTTAAGCTCAGCCATTTGGACGTGCAGCATGTTAATTGTGGTCCCTGAGATTGTTTACACCCAGGTAACAACTGAAACAAATGGCAAACAGCGCTGTGAGTACAAAGATTTGAAGTGGAAACTGGTAGAGTTGTGTCAGCAGGTTATTTTCTTTGCAATTTCCTTCATGATTTTTGCCATTTGTTACATCAGGATGATTAAGATTCTGCTTCAATCAAGATCACAAAGGAGGCAGAAGACTGTGAGGCTGATATTTGCCATTGTGGTCGTGTTTTTCTTGAGCTGGGCTCCTTACAACATACTTGGTTTTCTGTATGAGTTGTCCTCTCAGCATAAAATCAAATTAGACTGTCAAGTCCGCAAGAATGTTTTCTTTGCTTTCGACATCAGCCGCAATATAGCCTACTGCCACTGTTTCCTCAACCCAGTGCTCTACGTCTTTGTTGGAGTGAAATTCAGAAAGCATCTGAAGCTGCTGTGCAGGCAATACATTCAGCGCCTTAGCAGGATGCCACCCTCCAGCCCCAGAATTCATTCTTCACACTTTGGCCCCTATGAGGAGGCATCCTTGTACTGAAGCAATTGCTGAGGGAGAAGCTGAACAATACAACCAACCTGAGGAAAACAAAATTACCCACCGCAACTCTTCTGCTAACTGACTGCAGAAGTTCCAGCTGCTCAGTCTGATTCTCATAATTCAAAGGTTTTAGGGAAGAATCTACTGCCTGGTAGGACACCAGGGAAGAACTTTGTGTATTTGTTTTTAATTAATCAAATATTGCTTTAATGTCTGAAATATCATAATTATCAAGTGGCTGATACACACAAAATTTGGCATACTGGTAACAAATAATATTCTGCAAGTTATACACTTGTACAAAGACAGGTAGTGATTATATACATTAAAAGCTGAACAATGTTTGTATTTTGCATACAAAAGTTAAAGTGAGTGTTATTCTGGCTATACTGTATAGTGACCAATTGGAATGAGAAGGTGTTATAGCATTGTGCTGCAAAAGATCCCAGATCTTGGCTTTTCAGGCAGTGCTGGGATATAAACACCATCCAAAACATGAAGACCTACTGCCTGTTGGTATAGAGTAGACCACTGACTCCCAAACTGTGAAATGTGCCCCCCTCTGGTACAACATGATGAAATTTCAAGGGATGTTATGTGAGACTGCAGTTTTCTTAAAGGAAAAACAAAAAATCAGCTTAAAGAAATTATTGTGTATCATATGGTGTTACTAGTGTAAAGATTTGTCAAGAAAATTATTTCCACATATTTTAATCTAAAACAATGTTAATTATATTTTGTGCTTATTTTTATTCGAAATTACAAATATAATTATTTGCATAAAGGATGATCACAGAGATGGAGAGGCATGAGGACCTCTCAAAAATCAAAAAGGTTATGATGTTGGGTAGGTGGGACATCTCTAGATTTGATTATGCTAAGCTATAGGTATCAAGAGCCTGAGAGAGTGTAAGACAGTTTCTTATGTTTCTTAAGCAGACTGGTAAAACTTAAAATTATAACCTAATCACAATGAAAAGAAATTAACTAAACACCTGCAGCAGAACATTTGAAATATGCTATCCCAGCCAACTGGAGTTTTCACAAACTGCCACAATATAACGTATCTGCGCTATTCTAGTTTTGCAGTTTTACAATGATCTGGTGCATATACAGTTGTTCTTGAATCCATAGGGCTTGTATTATTTTTAGAGTTATGCTTCTGTATCATTCCCCCTTTGATCAATACTAAATAATATTCATTTCTGCTCTTAAAGCAAATTTAAGCAGCAGCAGCAGCAGCAGCAGGGTCCCGGTCCTGAAGGGTAGGGGAGTGCAGGCCAGAAATACTCCCAGGCACTGTCTCTCACCCAGTGCCTGGGGACGGCAGATGTTACCAGCAACTCCCCCGAAGACAGGAACGTTGCTATCCCAGCCAACTGGAGTTTTCACAAACTGCCACAATATAACGTATCTGCGCTATTCTAGTTTTGCAGTTTTACAATGATCTGGTGCATATACAGTTGTTCTTGAATCCATAGGGCTTGTATTATTTTTAGAGTTATGCTTCTGTATCATTCCCCCTTTGATCAATACTAAATAATATTCATTTCTGCTCTTAAAGCAAATTTAAGCATATTTAAATCTACAATTTCCATAATACAATGGGTTTTAAAATATATTTTACTACATTGAAACTAATACTAATTTGAATATGGCACCAGTGAATATGGTGCACTGATTCTTTTCCTGTTCCTAATAAACGTATTGATAAAATTAATTTTGAAGACTCTTTTCTGGCCTTTTCTGCTTAAATGAGGGTTCTGGTGATGGGTACTGCTAATCAGTGAGGCACCCAGATCTTATAGAGTGGGGACATTTCATATTTCAAATGGTGGATCAGCAAGGAGAATCAATCACGAGCATAAAAAATGACTGGAAGAGACAAAAGAAAAAGAGAAGTCTGTAGTGTAGGGGGGAAAGGAAGAAGAGGAGACTTCAACCCACACTGGCCAGCAAAAGGTGAGAGTAAACCACAGGAAGTGCTTGTGGGATGTGTTTGATTTTTATGAAGAGAAAAAGCAGATCATGAAAATAAAAGGGTTTTCTCAGAACCAGATGAAATCATCAACCCTTTGCTGAATGTAAAAATAAATACATAAATAAAAAATCAAAGATCTATGAAGAAGAAGAAGATGGCGACAGCAACTAGTACATCCGACCAAATGCAGTTGGGGGAGAATACAAGTCAAAGCAGAGGAAAAGCAGGGGAGTAGTCTCTTTAATTACAGTCAGTGTGTGCTACGTATGGTTAGGGCATCAGTGGTAACGCTAGCGAGGATTGTGGGAGTTGCAGTCTAACACAGGGTGAGGAAGGCTAGCCTAGAGCAACCAGAGAAAACTAGGCAGGATGCACTGAGTTCAAGCCCTATCTGCCACGTCTATCCAAACTCCTGTAGGAGATGAAGAAGAGTTACACTGCTGGACTGGGACTTAAAACATCCATGTTCAAGCCCCCACTAGGCCATGAAACTCACTGAATCAGCTGGGGCTAATTATTCTCTCAGGACTGTTAGGAGGATAATAGGGAGAAAGTCTGTTATGCCATCTTGAGCTCATTAGAGGAAAGACAGGAGAGATATGTAGCCAAATGGCTTTTCAGACAATGTGCCATTTGAATGATAAAGGGTTGCCATGAGGAAACGTAGCTGTATCATCATCCCAGACACATCTGTTATAAGAGAATATGAGATAATTTTAATGGAAGCAGAACAGAATCTCTCCTGAATAAAAATAGAAGCTACCAACAAGATACATTATTTGATATATTAAAAATATTTTATACTACTCTTCATCTTATGAAACCAGGGTAGAATACAAAAATGTAATGATGTAATGTAATATGATAAAATTCAATGCAAAACTCCTGAATACAATAAAAACATTAATATTGCCTACTATTAAAATTTGTGGGAAATGTATAAAGTAACTAGCTTCTGTAAGGAGGAAGAAACTGCTACAGATAATCAAGTGCCTTCCATGGAAGACTCAACATCCCTTAGTAATAAGCTGCTCTGTGCATAGGTAACTGCTTCGCTGAAATGTGCGAAATTCTCACCAATGAGCATATTTTCATGAGGGACCAATTAACTGCTGCATACTTTTGTTCTTTTTTATAGAATAGAATAGAATAAAACTTTATTACGGTCTAAGACCAGCCACAAATAAAACATCAGAATATATAAATATACAGGGATTTACAAAAATATTGGGATAAAATGCAAATACTTGGTTCTGAGAATAACAACAGCATCAAAACATCTCCCCTAAAGCAATTCCAGAATATCTGGCAAACTATGTTCTAACTACAGAGGCTCTTCCACTTTTAGGGTCCTTTTTCTAATGCCCATTGCAGCAGTGAAAAATTTGGCAACCATATGTATAAGAATGAGATTGGAGTCAGACAGCAGAGACCGATCAACTGCTGCATACTTTTTGTTCTTTTTAAAGAACTGTATAAAAACCTGAAACCTGTTGAACTTGAGGTCTCCACCCTACTCGGTACGCAGTTGTTTTACCTGAATAAACCTGCTGCCCTTTCCTCTAAGAAATTGTTTGCTTATTATTATTGCTTGGGATTTAGCTTGCTTTAATAGAATCAGCTAAGACACTGAGTTCTGGGAGTGACACTTCCATCCACAAGCTTGAAATTAAACTAGTGTAAAATGCCTGATCAACCAAATAGATTTTGAAAAATTGCAAAGTGCAGTGTTGGTGCCAGATGTGTTGTAATTACAGTCATGTGAAAAAGGAAGCAGACTGTCTTTGAATTCCATGGTTTTATATATCAGGACATTAAAAAATCATCTGGTCTGTAGCAGGTCTGAAAAATACGTAAATACAACCTCAGATGAACGACACATGGCATATTACACCATAATGATTCATTTCACAGAAAGAAAGCCAAAATGGAAAAGCTATGTGTGAAAAACCATATACACTTTATGATTCAATAGCTTGTACAACTACCTTTGGCAGTAATAACTTTCTGTATTACTTTATCAGTCTCTCACATTGTTGTGGAGAACTTTTGGCCCATTCTTCTTTACAATGTTGCTTCAGTTCATTGAGCTTTGCGGGCATTTGTTTATGCACAGCTTTCGTAAGGTCCTCATGCAGTTGGGTTGAGGTATTTGTTTATGCACAGCTTTTGTAAGGTCCTCATGCAGTTGGGTTGAGGGTGGGATTTTGACAGGGCCATTGCAACACCTTGATTCTTTTTTCCATCCAGCTTTTCTGTTGTAGATTTTCTGGCGGGCTTGGAATTATTGTCCTGATACATGACTCAATTTTGGCCAAGCTTTAATTGTCAGATGGCTTCACATCACATTTGACTCTAGAATACTTTGGTATACAGAGGAGTTCATGGTTGACTCAGTGACCGCAAGAAGCCCAGGTCCTATGGCTGCAAATCATCACCCCTCCATCACTCTTTTTGACAGTTGGTATGAGGTGTTTATGCTGATATGCTGTGTTTGGTTTTCACCAAATGTGGCATTGTGTGTAATGGTCAAACATCTCCACTTTGATCTCATGTGTCCAGAGGACATTTTTCCAATGGTATTATGGTTTGTGTAGATTGTTGTTGTTTAGTCTTTTAGTTGTGTCCAACTCTTTGTGACCCCATGGACCAGAGAATGCCAAGCCCTCCTGTCTTCCACTGCTTCCGTGAGTTTGGTCAAAGTCATGTTGGTAGCTTCGATGGCACTGTCCAACCATCTCATCCTCTGTTGTCCCCTTCTCCTCTTGCCTTCACACTTTCCTAACATCAGGGTCTTTTCCAAGGAGTCTTCTCTTCTCATGA